GTCTGTCTGCAAGCACTCTACATGGATATTCCGTTTGTCTCTCCAGATCTATTCTCCACCTTCTTTACTCTGCTCTGTGTCTCAGGAGGCTGACCTTATGGGCTCTATCAATGGGCTCCCTTGCCTTCTGGCTTCTGGTTAAGTTCATCCAATGGAAGCTACCAGCCAGAAGTCCAGCAGAAAGAGGAGAATGAAGGAGGGGCATTTTTCTCCCCTGGCTGTCTCCCTACTGTGCCAGTACCTTGGGTCCTCTCCTAAGGCCTCAGCTTCTTAAGCAGTCCTATCCCATAGCTACAGAGAGAATTCTCTCTCCAAGTCCGGTGGCCACTTCTTCTCTTAGCCCTTCTAGCTTAGAAGTGCTGCAAGGTTCCTGACTGCTACTAGTCCTGAGATGCTTCATCATCCCTTGATCACTCCCTAACTCTGCCCACACAGTTTGTAAATAGTCCCTGAATTAAACTCGCCTCAATTTCCCTGTTTGAGTGAGCCATCTGTTTCCTGTCAGGACCCTGACTGATACTCAGGGGAAAAAATTTTGACTATTTTAAGCAAAAATGGAACTTGGGGATGGCATGTTTGGAGTCACCGAAATGAGGGGAGTGGTAAAAAAACAAATGAATAAACAAACAAAAAGCAGAAACAAGACCCATAAATACAGAGAACAAACTGATGGTTGCCACAGGGAAGGATGGTGGGGGATGGGCAAAATGGATGAAGGGGAGTGGGAGATACAGGCTTCCAGTTATGGAATAAACAAGTTATGGGGATGAAAGGTCCAGCATACGGAATAAAGTCAATGATATTGTCATAGCATTGTATAGTGATACATAGCATACTTGGGGTGAGCAAACCATAACGTGCAGACTTGTTGAATCACTACATTGTACACTTGAAACTAATGTAATGTGTGTCAACTATACTTACACTTAAAAAATGTATAATAATGATAATAAAGAAATGAGGGAAGGTAGGAGGACCTGGGTTGGAGAACAAACAGGAACCAGGGGCCTGCTGGAAAGCTGAGGAGCAGGAATGACAGCTAGTCATTCAGGAGGAAGAGTCTGCATCACCCACCGCCCCTGCCCACGTGCTCACCTGCTTTCCCTGTGTCCTTCAGTCACCTACACAAGAGTTTCTGGGAGAGAGGGTCTGACTGCCTGGGTCTCCATTATACATCCCCAGGCTCAGCTGGGATGTAGCGGGGAGTGGCTATTGTGGTAGGAAGTGCACACCACCACCGACTAAGACCACACCCAGTGGGAGAATCCTTTAAAACAGGAAATCAGGGTGGTAAGAGAAAGCACCCCCCCAAAAAAGGACAAATATCATTACAATAATTAATTTTAAAAATGTAGAAATGCCTTAACAATCCAGGCATCTAAAGTAACTTTTCCCCAAAGATAAAGGTTCATGGAGAGATAGGCACTCCTCAACAAGAATTTCAGGAGTAGAGAGGTATTACTTCTAAAGGTCTCATAAATGAAAATTCTTTAAAAATTCTTTAAAAATTTTTCAACTGGATTAAAGTTGCTGGTTTCATCTTAACAAGGCATTCATGTTGTCCCTTTCTCCCATCCAAGTACTAACCAGGCCCCACCCTGCTTAGCCTCCGAGATCAGACAAGATTGGGCGCGTTCCTTTCTCAAAACTGCCCATTCAATGGGTCTTCTGCCCCAAAACCAGCCACTCTCTAGGAATTAATTCATTATATCAATGCAGCTAGAAATTGGCCCAAACAATTTTTTTTATTTTTTAGTCTCTTAAAGGTTATTCTTCACCTCTACCAGCACTCCTTTGCTTTATCCAGATTTTGATTTTTAGTAGTTAAAGATATAGTAAAGAATACCGTTTAACTATGAACTAAAGATACATAGCTTATTGAACAAGTTTGAAGATAATGTTATTTTATTACATTTGCTGACTGTTGGCTGTTGTATTTATAATTCACACAATTACTATATCTACCATAAAATTTAAACTATTTACTTTTATAGCATCGCTGGAACCATGCTTTATCTCAACTCCAAAATTAACTTACTTTACAAAGACAGAGCTGATGAGTTATAAAATTCAACATATACTTTACTTTACTTATCATGAAGGAAAGCAATACATATTCATAATTGTCCCCTGGAGGTTTCTTGACACAGTTACTGCCATTGGTAAGAGGAAATTTTTTCCTCAAAATAAATTCTTTTTCTTCAAAATAAAATTACAAAATTGCATGCAATACCTATAATTTTAAATTGAGAATTTATATTCTGTTAAATTCAATTGGCTGTATAGATAGATATTTTTATTCCAAAATATTAACTTACTTGATAAATGTGGAAGACAGAATACTGTCCAGGCTAACTACAAAGTTTCCAGAGCTGTCAGTGAGATGATTTTATTTAGCATGACAATGTGGTGAAAAATGGAGATGGGTTTTTATGATATAACAGACATCCAAGGTTTTTCTTTAATTCAAGATGTAACTTTCCTCATATTCCCTCACATCTTATAGGCTTCTTGTTCTGAATACACATACACACACACACACATATATATATGTATATATACGGTAAATAGTAAGGACAAAGTAGAAAAGGTATATACAGAAAATCATATATATAAACGTCTGGGGTTACATTCTCAGTGGGCTACTTATAAGGCACATATGGATGCTACTACTCTAAATATGTATAAATCAAATGGCTTATAATACCTACTGGTTGCCTAGTGGAGACAAGGAAGAAAGTAGAAGATCTAGCCCTTATTTTCAAAGAAGTGATAATATCTATAAATCTTCTTCTGATTTGAAAAACATACATCTTTCCCTTAACACAGTCTTTGTCTCTCCAAAACCATCGAACAGGTCTTTCTAATTGAATTGGTTGGCTGTCAGCTGTCTTAATAACCAGTATCTACACAATCAAATCAGTGATTAAAGTGGGTTGGTATCCTGGATACCTAGAAACTTATGGTCAAGAAGAGGCTATTCCTTTTCGCCGGCTTCTCACAGCCTGTACCGTCCATTTTAGACTGGGAGGTAGAAAAGGCGCTGGCCCACTCAGCCTCCTGGCTCCTCTGACTGCACGTGTTCCATACAAATCAATGGAAATGGGGCCACTGTTCTCCTGTGTCAGGACATGGTCAGCATAAGTAAGAATACCAACCGGCAGGCGTGCAACATCTAGTGAGTTCCTATTGCAGCCCTGCTTTCTCTGCTACATCAGGTGGCAGTTGGCAGAAAAACTAGTATTTTGAAAGTTCATTTGCTACTTGAAAATCACAGAATACCACTAGGTACAGAAGAACAGTCTGCTGCTTTAGAGAATATTTCATACACATTTTGAGACTGCTGGTTTTCTAGCAGGAAAATCTCTGATTTCTGGACTGGAGTGTATAGAAAGCTGTTGCCAAATCCAACTTGGGTCTGTGGTTTCCAAATTTTGAGATGTGAAAAGGACTCTATGTTCAGTGATGGCAGGTCTCATGTGTCTTACTCCCCTTAGTGACTGACATCTAGCAGCCTTAACTAAACAGTTCTTGAGTAAATGAACTAATAAATTAGCAGTGGATTTCTTAATGTCAGTGGCAAATTCATTTTGAAGCGTTTTTCTTGGCCTATTGTGTTAAAAGCCTAACAAAAGATGTAGTTGGCGGTGATTTTTTTAAGATGCAGCCAAATTTTGCTTGAGCAAAACCAGCATATGAAAAAAATCTGGGTTCACAAAACAAACACTGTCAATTAAGGGGTGATAATATGCTTCACAATTACATGGAAATATGCCTTAATTCAGAAGGTTCCTAAATGTTGGCTCATGGTCTTTTCTCAGGTTCACAATGAAATAAGAAAAATCAGCTCACTGTATTATTTTTCATAAGGCTAAATTAATCAATTAAAAAAACTGTCCTTTATTAAAAAATTACCTTCTCTTGTTTCTGGGATTAAAATAATTTTCTAAAAAAACAAGATAATGAGACTGGTCTATGCTAATTATTCTTTTCTAATGCCCTTTCTTGCCAAAATAAAGTTGCCAACCCTGTATTAGTTCCCCAGCTTTTTGAAAAGTATGCTATTGGTTTGTGAAATCCAAGACTAACTTAGTTTTAAAATAAGATTCATTTGATACAAGTATTTTAAAAAAAATACATATTCAGTGAAGGAAGATAGTGTACCCTTGGCCTTAATTACCCATAATGATAATAGCCAACCAGTGTTGAGTGGCTACTCGGCTAAGCACTGCTCTCAGGGCTTTTTTAAAAATGTGTTAATCATCTAAATTTCATAGTATCCCAAGAAAGTAGTATTATTTTTTCCCCATTTTACAGATGAGACCTCTTGCCCCAAAAGGCACAAAATCCGGCTGGTAAACTGATAGAGCTGGCTCTAGAACTTCTGGTCTTATATTACAAAGAAACTGGGCCATATGACAATGCAACCAACAGAAAAACATCACTTGTTATTATATTCTAATGATTTTGGAAATGGAGGTCCCATCAGCATACAGATTATAAACTCCTATCCAAGACTCCTACTATCATGTATTTAAATCAGAGCCCTTCCCAATCTTACCTTATCAACCCAGTTCTTGGTGACCTATTTTTAGCTTATTTACAGAAGTATTGCTTCAAGCAATATCCTTATTTCTTAAACTCAAGTTTTAATTAGCAAATACCAGAAAACAAAGCAAGAAAATACATTTACAAAGGAGTATTCAACCAAATAGGAGATGAAAGCACAACATTCCTAAGTTCAGTCATCATGATTAAGTTAACTTAGGGCAAATTCAACCTTATCGTACACACAAAGAATATTTGTTTACTTACTTTAAGAGTATAAAACTCCAGCTTCCAAATGCTATGAAAAAGTATTAACACCCTAGCTTTTAAAAAAGTTTTAAAAAGTATTACAGTAAGTAAATAAAGTATTAAAACCTCAGCTTCCACATGTAGATATCCATCCCAACAATAGGTTCTTATTTAAAAGATTACAGACTTTAGTGGGAACTCACATATTTCTTTGCAGTGCCAGAAGTCCAAATAAAATATCAATTCGGCAAAGAGGTAAATTAGGAAGTAAAATTCCTAATAAATAAAAAGATAAAAGGCAAAACTGATGAATCCAATCAGACCTTTTCACAATGACAAAAAAACCCAAAACAAAACCAAAAAACTTCCAAAATTACAGCAAACTGGAATCAAAGACAATTTTGGCTTTCAAAACCGACAATACTCTTGGTAATGGTAAAAATGATCTGGCAGGTTAAAGACGGGTTTCTACCACCCTATCGTCTACTTAACACCACTTACCAAAATATTGCATTACATGAAAGGTGCTGTCATTTTACTTCAATGCTGACGAAAAAGAGATTTTAACGCTATTAAGTTCTGGGTTCCCCTAGGAAAGATCAATGAATCAAGAGGTCTTGGGGCTTCTGCAGTTTAAGGAAATTTTGTGGATTAACACCTTCACCCCTCAGCCCTGAGAGGTGGGGTGTGCACATCCAATCCGAATACCTTGTATACATACAACACTCTAATTTCTAACAACTGCAGGTAACTCCTGCACAAACTCTTTGGCTTCTGCTCAAGCACCCCTCCCTCGCTCACATGCCCTAGAAAAGCACAGAACCAGTTCTAGGACTGTTACCACCCAGCACCCCTAAGCTCCTCCCCGAGACTACCCTCCTCCCGCCTGGCCGGGCCCTGCCCGGCCCCGCCCCGGCCCGGCCCAACCCGGCCCAACCCGGCCCAGCCCACTACTGTCCCGCTCCGGCTCTCTGAACTTCCCCCGCCCACTCCGTCCACGTGACCAGGACCCCCCCCCCCCCGCTGCGCTCCACCAATCAGCAACCACCTCCGCCCATAGCCCCGTCTCCGACGCTCCCCTTTCAAAAAGGCAGCTTTCTCCTCCCGCCTTCAGCCCCGCCCCTTTCCCACCTCCCCGCCCCGCTGGTCCCTCCCACTTCCCCAACTCCCCGTTCCCCTCCTCCCCTTCTGTTGACCCCTCCCGCTCCCAGGCTTCGCCCCGCCCAGTCCGGGGCAGCGCGCTCGCTCTCTTCTCGCGAGATCTGAGCGTCCCCGCCGCTGCCGCCCGCCTCCCCCTCCCGTCCTCCCACCCCCCTCCCCCCAATCTCTCCACTCTCCGGCTCTCCTCCCTCCCTCCTCCCCCCTCCACCCTCTGGGCCGGATCTCGTCTCGCTGAGGCGGAGGAGGAGAAGGAGGAGGACGTTCGGCCTGCGCAGTGAGATGTTTGTCCGTCGCCGCCGCCGCCGCCATCGCGGAGGAGCGCGATAAAGGGAGCCGAGCCGGGCGTGAGGGGCACCCCGCGGAGCCGCCGCGCCAGCGCAGCCCCCCAGCCGAGCCCGAGCCGCCGCCGCCCCCGCCGCGGCCGCCCAGGGGCCGGCCAGCTCCCCAGCCCAGCCCGGGGGCCGCGCCGCCGCCGCCGCCCCCAGCGTAGCCCCTCGCCTGCCCGCCCGCCTTAAATGTGACACCGGCGCTCGGAGTGCGACCCGAAGCCGCCGCCGGGAGGGGACGAGCACCATGTCGAATCTGAGCAAAGGCACGGGCAGCCGGAAGGACACCAAGATGCGGATCCGGGCCTTTCCGGTGAGTCTCTCCTCGGCGCCTGGGACCCCAGGGCCGGGGGCCCGGCGGAGAGCCGCACGCGAGGCCCGGGCTGAACTCCCCCAACAGGCCGCAGGCCCGGCCTCCCCTCCCCCACGCCGCCGGCCGCGGGGCGCGAGCCTTCCCGGCAACGGGGCGGCGCGGGGCCCCGGCGCGGCCGCCCTCCCGGGCCGTTCCCCGCGCCCGGCGCCCAAATCCGGCGCCGCGCACCCGCCGGGAGCTGCTCCTCCGGCCAGCCAGCGGGCGTCGGCTGCGGCCGGGGCCCCTTGGCCGGTCCCAGCACCTTCGCACGTTCCTGGGGTGTAGGCCCAGCCGCTAGGACTCCTCTCCCTGCTCGCTTCCCGGGACCACCAGACCTGCAGGGACGAGGACTGGGGAAGTCCTCCGTGTATGGGCGTGTGTGTAACTTTCCACGTGTGGTCTCGCTCCGGTTTAAAAAATAACCTAGTCTGAAAGATGGCCAGCCAGACCTTCTGGACTGCTCTCTCCCTCTCTTTCCCCTCCTCAGGGCTTTGCCACCAGCCTACCCGCGACGCAGTGACAGGGGTTCCGTGTAGTGCTCAGTAGTAACAACGGACTAATATCATCAGCTGTATTTATAGTCTCTCATCCACAGGCTTCCAAAGCACTTTACAAACTCTGTTATGCAGGAATTGCCTCGCCACTCGGAGGAGGGTCAAGGGGAAGCAGGAGAGAACACATTGGACAATTGTTTCTCCATTTCTTAGCCATGGAAGCCCGAAAGAATGAGTAGTCACCACCCCGAGTTGCTCTACTCTAGGTTTTAGTGACAGCAAACGTGTTCTGTTGAGAAACTTTCTTTTTTAGCATTACGTTGAGTCATAGGCTTGCAGTATTTAGTATGGAGAGTATAACTTTGGATGTCGTACCTGACTCAGATAGCCAATGGCAAGCAATTAAAATGCACTCTTGTAACAAACTGGACGTACCTGGTCACGTCGCTACAGTAACAGGTATACGTCAAGATAGACCAACTAGCAATTGCACAGAAGGTTTTAGAACCGTAAAACGAGAGAAAGATCTTGAATGTCTTGGAATGATGAACAGGTCTTGGGAAGGGGAAAGGTGGGGTTTGAATTCACTTTTTTAAGCATGCTTTTTCTGAAGTGTAATTTTCAGTGAGGGAAGACTTACTAATACAGAAGAGAACTAATGAAGTCGATTAGTGTGTTTTCCCTTATAATGAAGTGAGCTGGGTTTATGAATTTTTGAGTAATATTAGCTTTGCTGCTAAATCAGTTGTGAACGTTTTTAGCAGAATTTAGAATTAAGAATTTTAAATAGTTTTATACAAGTTTTCTAGGGAAAATTTACTGTTGGTCTGAGTTTTTCTCATTCAGATTTATTACTAAAATGTGGAATAGCTCACATTTGACATGAACTCATTTTTGTTAATATTGTGATTAACCAGTTGTACCTTTAAGTGCGATCAGCTTTTCATCTCTTTAGGTTTACCTGTTCCTACCTGGTCTTCATTCCCTCATTCATTCAGTAAATACTGAGTACTGTGTGCCAGGCACTGTTCTAGGGGCATGGAATAAGTACAGCTTGAAGAATCAAGATCCCTTCTTTCTGGATGTTGTATATTATTGGGAGAGGCAGGAGAGAATTTCATTAGTCCTTTCGTGAAAGAGTATAATATATGACAGATTAGCACATAGTGCTGAAACTGATTTTTTTTTAAGTAGTGTTTATGGTTGTGAGCTAATTTGGACCTTTTTCTGTCCATAACTTGTTGCCATCTAAGATATTCTAAAATCTTTTAATGAAGTTTGTAAATGACTAGTGTTTGATACTCAGTTTAGTATCTGCTAATTTTTAAAAGCATAATTTTTCATTATTTTGTAAGCTTTAATCTTCCTAAGTAGTCTCCACTGAAAAGAATCATTATATTTTTTAATATATAAATTTTTAAGTCCTAGTACCTTGAGCCCTCATTAAGAATAGGTATATACCTCAGTGGTACGATATTTCACTGACTTACCCCTTGGTAAATGTTTGAGTAATTACAGACCTTCAAAATTTCTCTTCATCCAGGTTAGCAGTCTCCTAGTAGTAAATGTATAGTATCCCATAAAGAAAAAATAGTGTTTGTGTGTGTACATATGTACAGTATTTACAGGTGTAGTATTTTGCATTAATCTTTGGACATTCACTATAGGTACTGTAGTTTAAGAAAATTGTAGTTTAACCAAAGGTCTCGGGTGCTCATTTCAGATTCTGTTTTATAAAATTGATGCGTAAAAAGTGTAAAAATATGTTTTGAGGTTGTTTTGTTTTCATTGCAAAATAGAATGGTGAGTGAACTTACAAGTTATTCTATAGATGTGTAAGCCTATTCCAGATATAGTCCCATCAGTAAAATCAGGTTCTTTTTAGTGTTTTGAATATATATTCTAAGTGTCCGTTTCATCATTGTTTACGAGAGTAAGGTTATGCCATACCACAGTTTTATGCACAATTTGCATTTTAAGTAGAACTTTTCATAAGATTAAGAGAAATTAGTTCTTTTTAAGACGGAAAACAATAGGGACTTTCTGGCTTTAAAAATTGTTGATGGAGTTAGAGTTTATCTAGTTTGTAAGCTTTCCTGCACTGCACAAAATATATGTCATTTCACATCTTTTTTTTTTTTTTTTTTTTGGTACCCAAAATAAACAGCAAGGGCCACAAAACTTTTTTTTAAGGAAGGAGGCTGTAGTTGCAAAACTCCTGGAACCTATACGGATTTGGATCAGAGTGCTGCCCCAAGAAGTTCCTGCTCTTCTTTCCTTGCTGTGGCCGAATGTCTCACACCTGAGCTTTTGTTCCACTATGTAAGATTGGTTGCTGTCAGGTGAACCTTTTGTCCTTATCTTTGAAAAGCCATTCCTTACCATCTGTACTTTCCACATGGGTTTTGTCCACATGGACTTGAAACACTTGGTTGGGTTGGAGGGGATATGTTTGAAAATAACTGGTCTCTCTTCTGATACTCGTTTTTGACTTAGCCTTCACAGAGTTTAGGAGTCCTATTGTGAAAGTGATTGTCTTTAGAGTGTGATTTGGAAGTGGTTTCAGTTATTACAGAAGCATGCTAAATCATGATGCAGAATCTTTGGTTGTGATGTCCACTCCATAATCCTAGATGAGCTTCATGGAGCTCCACGTGTGCAGCATGGACAGTGAGTGATGTGGAGGTTATTGTTAGATGGAAACCACAAAGTGAATGACGTTACAAAGAGATGAGTTTTAAGATCATTTGTGATGTACTTATTAAGAACACAAGAGTTTAGTGACACCTGGGGACAGTTAATGTTTTTGTTTTTCCTAGCTATAGTAAAATTTGCTAGATTTGGGGGAACGGCTTTGATCTTCATAATAGATTTCTCGTCCTCAGAGGAAGTAATTGTTGTCTAGGACTACCTGAACTATGTACAGGAAAGCTGAAAGCTGAATAATAGTCTTGCAAATCACATGGGGGGGGATTAACTACATTTATTTTTCATTCTATCACATAGAGAAATTATGGAGTAAGTTATAACAGATTCATTAAAGTGTTGCTTACACTTAGACTGATTCTTTCTGTTTAATAGTTTCAGGACAGCCAGCTATGTTGTAACTGCTAGTACCTCTCTGGGTTTAGAAGTTAAAAAACAAAAGCATAAAGTAGTTACCTATAAGGTGTTATATTTTGCATTGTCTCCCTAGATAGCAGTTCAGGGGAGCCTGGAAAATTATTAGTACCAGTATTGAATTTGAAACTATTTATAGAATATAATGGAGAATTTGGCCTTTTAAATAAGGTCATTCATTGAGACAAGATAGAGAAAGCTTCATTTGTTTGTACATCATTCATTCATTAAATGTAGCTAATAATAGCATTTCTCTAGTTTGTGAAGGTTATACAGTAAAGACTAAAAAAAAGTAGTATGCCCTCCCTTTGTATTCTAAATTGCTCCCAACTTTCAGTAATTTTTTTGCTCTTATTTTCATTGAAGATCAATCATCTGATGTTCGTTAATAATTTTGTTTAATTTTTGTGAAAGTTACTGGACAATTTGTAATTTCAAATAATGCAAGTTTGAAAACACCTCATTTATTCATTGTAAATGTAGCAAAAAAGCAAAGGTGTTACTTAAGGACAAATCACAGGTATACTAGGAATTGCAATTAGTGTCTATCAGTGTATTGTGAAAACTATTCAGTCATTTGTCAAAGCAATGAATTCATTTTAGTAGATTTTCTAATTATAAAAGTAATGCATATTCATGATAGAAAACTTAAGTATCTAAATTTATAAATAAGGAAATTAAAATCACCTCTAACCCTACTGCTTGGAAATAAGCAATATTTACACTTTGATGTATTTTCTTTTAATCTTTCATACACTTGTGAGCACCCAGTAAAATTGAGGTACTATATTATTTTAAAACTGCTTTTTAAAAAGAGAGTATTCTCACGTTAAATATATTAAGGATATGATTTGTAAAGACAAGTACTCTGTGGTACCTCAGTTTGCTTAACCATTTCCCTACTGCTGGGTATTTTGATCGATTCCAGTTAATCCATACTTCCTCTGTTATAGATAATGCAACTGTGATTATTTAGGCACATAAATATTTGGGCCTGTCCATGATTATGGAGTTACTAAGCCAAACAAAATTGATACATATTGCCAGTTGGCCTCCAGAAAGGTAGGAATAATAATAGCTAACACTCAGTGAATGCTTATCATGGGCCCCCCACACTGTTCTCTGTGTATGTACGCTCACTTCATTTGCACAATTCTATAGAGTACTACTACTATCATCTGTTTTATAAAGGAGGCTTTGAGAACCTAAGAAATTTGCTTCAGGTCACTGTGCTTGTAAGTGGCAGAACTGGGATCCTAATCCGGCTCTAAAGTGAATTAATTATACCTGTCAAGGTTGTATCATTGTATTTCTACTGTGTAGCAGTGTCTTAGCCAACATTTTATA